ATGAAATGAATGAAGTGAAAAGATTCATCAAACAACAAAATAATGCACTTGGTTATGGATCTATTACAAAATTATCTCATTCTCAATCACTTACACCATGTGGTGGAGTAAGTTTAAGATTATATTAATTTTCTTTCATATTTTTATGAATAAAGACAAAGTCATAGATGTAAATAAGATTTAAAAAGTTGATAATGGATTTGAAGAATTTTCAGTATTTTTTGGTTTATCTATTTTTTGAATATTTTCAAAATCTGTTGATTAAGATACATTTTATGTATTCTTTGTTTAAAACTTGTTTGTGTATTTAAAAAAAATTCTTTCTTTTTTTTTATAAATTATCTTTTTTATTAAATAATAAATTATGAAAATATTAACATTGAGTTAGTATTTTAAGTGAACTACTAATTTAATCAGAATTATCAATTATTTCTTCATTATCTTCTGATGATATAATTGAATTTGATTCTTCAATAAAATCAAGTAGATCGATAAATGCTGGTGCAGTATCACCACTACCATCATTCATATTTAAATGACGTTCAACAATATTAAGAGCTGTTTGAGTAATTTGATCTGTACTTTGTTGTATAAATGTATTTGGTAAATCTTCAGATACATGAATATCTAATTGAACTGAATTTGTTGTTTGAATACGTGGATAGTTTTCATTAAAAGCTGGTCGTTGTACAATTGAATTAGTTTGTGCTTCAATTTTATCAAGAACTGAATCAATATTATCAAGAATTGAATGAATCTGTGTTACCATCATTGATTGTATCGGTAATGATGTTTCATCTATATGAAATATCATAGATGATTGACGAGTAATTGATTGTTCTATAGGTGAAGGTGGTGGTGGTGATTTCGTTATTATTGATGTATAACTTTTTGATAAACAAATTGGTGTTGATTGAAATTGTAAATCATTATTATTAATCGAATGAAATTTTTTTTGTTGAATATTATCTATTGAAGAATTAACTTCATTAATTAATCGTTTATTTGTTAATTGTTCATCGAATGAAGATGATGAACTACCAAATACACGACAAACAAATTGTTTAGCTTTTTCAAATACTCCTGATGTATTTGATAAAACCTTGACAAAAAAAATCAACAATAGTTTTCTAATAGAAAAGAAAAGAAAAACAAACTCTTGTCATATTCGATGTTGTTGATGGAGATATATTCGTTTCTTGATTATCAACAAATTGTTTTGATTTAAAATTTTTTACAAGAAAATATTCATTATCTAATAGTTCAATAATTTCTTTATTTGTTTTTAATAGTCTAGATAAGAAGAAGATTCTTATTATTAATATAAAGAAAAAAAATATATACTCATTATTTTTTAATATTTCAATTAATTTTAAACGATATTCATTATTAGTAAAAAGATCTAGAAGTATTGGAAGACTATCGGAAGTAATGAATATATAAATCTAATTAGAAATTTAATATTCTTTTTGAGAAATCAAAAGAAGAAAATTTTTACAAAAGGAATTAATTGATGAATGGCTTGTAAACGATATTGTTCATTATTAAAAAGAGAAAAAAAATATTGAAGTGTGCAAGGTGTAAGTTGTAAATGATGTAAATGAGATTTAAGTGTTATAAGCATTTGTAATCGATCAATATCATTATCAAGTCGATATAATTCTCGACATAAGATATCAATTGGTGAATTTATCTTATTTAACATTAATAAAAGAGAAATCAAAAAATTTTGTCTACAAAAAAGAAAGCGCCTGCTGAGTTTATTTAACTATTCGATGATTGATATTAATTATTTATCTCTCAATGAAATTATGTTTCAGAGATTACATCACTGAATATTTTTTTATTAATTAAAATATTCAATTTTGAATTGCCGCATCATTAACAATAAATGCATTCAGCATCAATTCTATAAAAATTACATACGACGCATTTGTATCTACGGTGTTTCTTCATAAAAATGATACAATATGGACGGAGTCACTGAAGTAGTTGAACCTCGTCTAGATAATGGTAGATCATATAAAGCAGGTACAATAATAGGCGAAGGTAATCGTGATAGAGACGGTAATGGTGGTGGTGGTAAGGGCGGTGGTGGTCGTTGTATTGTTGATATTGTAGATGTATTTGATGCTGCATATGCTATTAATTTCTGTTTTACTCGTTTTTTCCAAATAAAAAAAATGACTAAACCAACGACAAGAGTTAATAAAGCTCCTCCGAGCCCAGCAGCAACGACAATACCAATATTAATTTGAGAAGACGACGTATCTGTAACTGTAGTTGTAGTTATTGAATCTAGTTTAACTAAAATAATAAAAAAATATTACTTATTTGTTTCTATTATTATATAAATAATTTTATATTCGAACATGTTAGTCCACTATATTAGGGAAAACATGCACATGTCTGATTAGTTGTACATATACCTGTTTTGGCTGGTACACATTCATCACATACTATTAGACCTGTAAGAAAACTGGAAAATAATATCGTCTGTGTTGAAAAAAAACTTTCTTGAGCGTTTTTCTAATTGATAAATCTTAAACTGTCATTTTGGAATTTCGAATTGTTTACTTTATGACGAATAGATTTCATTTTTGTTTATGTACTTTACCTTATCAACCCTCAAGACTTCACTGTTTTAAAAGATATACCAGGAAGGATGAATTAGTACTATATAGTTAGAATATACTAGACTATTCATACCAGTAGTTGAATTAAAGAATATTGTTATTGAAAAGAAATTGTTTTGAAGATTAATAGAATAAATTTCGAAAGAATAAACTTTAACATTGTTGAATTTTATGCTTACTTGTCATGAAAATTGTGACGGTGTCGATGAAAAATGAGGTTTAAAAAATCAATATGTTCTCTTTTCTCTTCACTACAGATTTTTTTTTTCTGAATGTTTTCATCCAGTAATGCAACAATAGCATTAATGTTTTGACAAAGAACATAAAGTAAGATTGTTTCAAACACAAAAACAATTCGTAAAATAAAAAGAAAAAAAAAAAGAAATTCTTTCTAACAATGAAATTTGCCTAAATACTTTGATGATTCAAAAAATATAACAAAATAATTTACGTAGTTTATCTCTTTCTACAGATTTCATTTGAATTACTTAATGATCAGCGACGGATCTAGGATTTTGGAAGGGAGGGGGCGATTTCGGCTAAAAACTAGTTTTTTGAGTTTGGTCGAAGTAGTGCGAACTTATTTTTTCGTTCATTTTTGCTGTAAAAAATTTCTGAAGGAGAGGGGGGAGATGGGGGCGGTCATTCTCCCCCTAAATCCACCAGTGGCAATGATTGATTTGTTCATTCAACAGTGACTTGAATAAAAAGTACATTTATTTGTTCTAGAATATCATTTTTGTCGACGTACGTACTGTAAATGCATGACTAAATGTCTGCGAATGAAATGGGCGTAGTAAAGTGCATTGAAGTATTTATGTTCTTCTTATCAAATAAGAAGATTATGTAATTAGAACATCAAATCAAAATCTTATATCGGTCAGACGTTTTTGTTTTTGAATTAATTTAAAAAGAAAACTGCAAAGAACAAGTGACTTTGAGTTTTGAAAGAAAAGAAATAAAAAAAAAGAGAGTGCCGTGACCCGGGATCGAACCAGGGACCTTCAGATCTTCAGTCTGACGCTCTCCCAACTGAGCTATCCCGGCGAAATATATACCATTTAAATGTGACTTAATATTTTATTTTCTATACAAACAACAAAATTACAATTCAGCTTTTTCAATATAGTCTTTGAATAATTCTCGTTTTTGTTGTCGTTCATAATAAGCTTGTTGAGCCATATCTAATACATCTCCAACCGTTCTTTTTTCACATAATCGACGTATTCTTTCAATTCTTGTTTCTTCAGCTAATCGTTTTTTTTCAGCTGCAATTGGCATACTTACCGTTGCTACATCATTTTCTTTTGTATCAATTTTTTCATTTTTTTTATTCTTGTCAGTTTTATTTTTTTTACCACCTGGACCAACACCCATTTCAATTTGTTCATCATCAAATGCTTGTGTTGCTTGATCATTAATACGTCGAACTTTAACTGGACGTGTTTTTGGTTTTTCATCAATAATTGGTTTTTCATCAATTTCTTCATCTTGTTGTTCACGTTCAGTTGCTCGTGCATGTTTTTCACGTGCACGTTTATACATTATATCATTATCATCACCATCCTCAGCAGAATTTGTTTCCATTGCTTCTTCATCATCATGTGTTGCACGTGTACGAAGTTGACGAACATTACGAGAAGTTGAAGATTCTAAAAAATAAAATTTTAATATTTAATTGTTTTCTTTTTTTTTCTAATATTCTAATTACTTTCTATTGTTGGTTCAGTTTTTACTTTTTCACTTTCTTCAAGAATTGTTGCATCACCTTACAGTAAGCAAAAAAAAAGTTACAATAGGATTTCTTTATAATAGAAAAACATACCTGTTCGAAGTTTAAATTGAAAACGATGAAAAGCATCCATATTATCTTGTCCTAGAACATTTAATAAAGCTTCTCGTTTATCTTCAAGTTTTTCTCGTTCTAAATCAGCTTGTTGTTCAGCTAATTTAATTTTATATGCTGATGTAACGAATACTTCTTTATCGGCATAAAGATCACCTTCTGCTTCACGTTCACGTTGTATACGTCGTTCTAAAACTCGATCATATTCTTTTTGACGTTGTTTATTTTTTTCTAAAAGACCAACAACATATTTTGCTTCTCGAACAGTATTTGATTCACGTTCAAGACGTTTTTTTTCTTCACGTCGTTGTTCTTGTTGAACAGTTGAACTAACTTGTTCATAGACTTCATCATATTCATATATATTTGGATCTTCTTCAAGTGCTTGTTCAATATCACGTTGAGCTTTTGGATTAAGTGCAAGACGACTTGATGTTGGAGGTTTACTTATTTTACTCGATGTATCTGCATCATCATCATCATCAAGAGAGAAAGCTGAAGCTGCGAAACAATTTTTATTAATTGGTAGTATTGTTGTTGTTTTGCTTTTTGGTTTACTTGGAAATGATAAACCAAATGGTCGTTTTGTAGTGGAAGATGAATTATCTTCAGCTGACATTATCTAAAAAAGAAGTTAGACTCGTAA